TTGCTAAGCACCTGAAGTTCAGCAGGTCTGTCTAATCACAGCTGGGAGGCAGTTTCAGAGGGTTGGGCACGCAATATTAAATGCACAGCTTGTTGTGGATACAAGTCATACATCGGAGACCTAGGGGTGGTCACTAACTCTCCTGAAATTCTCAGTGAATGGGCAGGAGTACAAGGAATCAGGCACTCTTTAAGGTATCCTGGACCCAAATTATTAATGTTTCTGTTTCTTCTAGTCTTTAGGATTTCAGTGAGTGCACAGTTCTGAGCTTGCCTTAGTGTTACAGTGTTGTCAAGGGCGGCGTGTGTATTTTTCTCTCTCCTTCCCCTAAATGTTTCTCCAGCACTCTGCAGCCTCGCCAGCTCCCTGCATTTCCTGATCTAATGAATCTACTTCAATACATAATCCTCTGGCCTATGTTTGAAGTCCAGACACCTGGGAAGGCTGCAAAGTGCAGACAGCTGGTGAGTTGATTTGTGGAGTGAAAGAAAGGACACTCGCAAATAGCCATTGGCCATATCCAAAGCAGAATAAGCATGACTCAAACCCTGCACACCACCCATGAGTATTTACAATTTTCACTCTCGTTTGATCATTTTCAAATGCATCATTCTTTTCATTGATTGATAGAGAATGGACTGGAGGTTTAATGAATGCTCAGCCTCTCCTTTCAAGGGGAATGAATTTTCCTTGAATGGACAGCTGCTGCCACCCAGTGTGGACAATACTGAGCTAGATAAACCAGTGGTCTGACACAGTCTATAAGGCTCCTCCTCTGCTCTTGATACGATATGATAATCTTTATTGTCATTTTCCCATACAGAACAACGAAATTGGAAAACCCACAAGCCTGCTATCCCAGCTATCCCAACCTGGTTAGCCCCCTAAAAACTCTGATACCCCATTTTAAAAATACAATATACTCCCATAGAGACTCCTTACACTGTGTTTAAAACCAAAATCACATTTGGATAGAAACTGTTTCTCAGGCAGCTAGTTCTAGTCTTTATAACCCTGTACCTTCTTCCAGAAGGCAGAAGCAGAAAGAGATCATTTCCAGGGTGTGCACTATCTTATGCTATCTCTGCAGGTTTCTTATGGCACCTGGAAGCATCGATTTGATCCAAGGTGGGAAGAGTGCACCCAATTATTCTCTCCACAGTCTTTACAACCCTGGACAGCATTGTTTTTCCCCATACTGTGCAGCTCCGAAACCACAAACACAGGCCATAAGTTAATATGGTTCCCTCTTTGATTTCTGCATCATTCAGTTCACCCACCCATGGGCAGTGTGGGCTTTTCTAGACACCCTTTGGGATCTGCGCAGTAATTTTTTTGGGTATTCCTCAACTGGCTTTCCAGTGAACTTTGTTTTCACCTACTCCACACTGTCCCTTCCATGATTAGGTTGCAGTAGGTTTCGGCTTGCTTGTTTGGCTGTTTGATTTTGCTTCCAGTTGACATTTAATGTGGGCAGGTAAGCAGGTTAGGATTAATGCCAGTGATAAGCACCCTGAGATGCTCTTGAGTGAAAGACGTTTCTCCATCTTCCATTGCCAAGGGACTTGGGAGGCTCCTTGCTTTCGTATCATTGGTGCCTGATGTGTGCTCCCTGCAGAATGGTGGGCTTTGAAGTGCAATGCCTAGCTCAGATCCTACACAGCTTCTGTTCCCCTATACAGGGAGGTACAAAGATATGCCTCTCATCATCACCCACTTACGGCGATTGAGCTTTGCTGGGGTGGTTTTGCCCAAGCTGGTAGGCATGACCTCCTCTCTCTGACTAGATAGGTTCCATCTGCTTGCCATGGAAGAGATTGCTTTGCTTTGCTTCAGATTCTCATGTGATGCTGAATAAACACAACGATAATCCAAAAGTCCTGTCTCTCGAGCCTTCATCCCAGGTGCACGGGCAAACGTTGCTTCCTCTGGAACATCTCTTCAAAATAAAGCTTAGATATATGCAAGGTCACGAAGGGAAAGGGAACCCTGCCTTGAAAACAGAGCCAGAGATCACAAACAATTTCCCCAAAGCAGCATAAGCAAATTAAAATGAAAGGAATGGGCCAGTGAGCTGTAACTGCGCCGCGTCCCTTTATCAACTGCTGATGGATTATTGTGAATGCACATTGATCCATTGCTGCATTCTCCAGTTCAGCGAGCTCAAACAGATGCTTCAAGACTGAAGGCAGTCCGCAACAAATGCTGTAATTTGTGGCTGAGCCACTGCAAATGAAACACAGCGACTGGGCCAGCTGAGCTGAAACAGAACGATAAGTAACAGTGGCTCAGAGTGTTTTAGGCAACTCAGAACGTAGGTGGATGAGAAGATCAGAAAATAAGGGAAATGCTGGATGTTGGAAAATGATTCTGAAGATGTTAAAAGCTCTAAAAATCAACCCACCTATCACAATTAGGATATGAGTCCAATTTGCAATTCCAGCATGTCTTTCTGAAAAGTACTAGGGCAGACTTCCGCAAACTGGTATCCTTCAGATGTTTTGAAATACAACTCCTACCAGCCCCACCACCAATTGATTAGATAAATTTGATTGGACCGTTTAATTTCTATACCACTTGATATATTAAAAATATATCTAAGTAGTATACAGAAAACGGAAGCAACACCAAACAAAATTTTAGAAAAATACACAATTACATATAACAAATATTGTATTAATAAAAAGGTACACACACATACACCTCAAATCATTTCCCTTCTGACACACCCTTCCTCTCAGCTCTGGGTTCTCACCAGGGTACAAACAAACTCTCAGTTTACCCACAAAAGTCTCACAACGAGAAGAATTCCTGAGTAAACACTGTTCTAAGGAGAACATGTTGGTATGTATAGATTAAGTTTGTAAAGTAGACCTAGGAAAAATTAATATATTTAGAATATGAAAGATGAGATGTATAAGATGCAATGTAAATAAGAACTTAAAAGTTTAAGGGATGATGAGTACTGAAGGAGGGAAGTCACATGGGCGTATTAATATTGTTATTCTTTCTTTTCTTTTCTTTTCCCTTTTCTTTTCTGGGATACTATTTGTATTTCTGTCTGACTGCCTAACAGTTAAGCCTTCCTTTCAAATACTGTGGTGCCTCGGTTTTTGAACGTAATCCGTTCCGGAAGACCGTTCAAGATATGAAACGTTCAAAAACCGAAAGCTCAAAGGCCAACAGCTAGGCACCAGCAACTTAGCAGTTTGAAAGCATGCAGTGCAAGTAGATAAATAGGTACCGCTCCAGCAGGAAGCTAAACAGCATTTCCGTGCACTGCTCTGGTTTTGCCAGAAGCGGCTTAGTCATGCTGGCTACATGACACAGGAAAACTGTCTGCGGAAGCGGACAAATGCCGGTTCCCTCAGCCTGTAAAGTGAGATGAGCGCCGCAACCCCAGAATCATTCATGACTGGACTTAATTGTCAGGGGTCCCTTTACCTTTACTTTTAGGCACCTGGATGTAGCACTCGGTGGAAGCCGTGTGGCATGTTCAACTTCCAAGGTGTGTTCGAAAACTGAAGCATTTACTTCTGGGTTTATGGCATTCGAAAACCGAAATATTCCTCAACGGAGATGTTCGAAAGCAAGGTACCATTGTAATTGAACAAGAATCTTCCTAGCAAACATGCAAACTTCACACAGTTGGTAGGTTAACAGAGCAATCTGAGGGCAAGGTGGCAGTGGTATTAGATCGTGGAACAACCACCACATTTAAGCTCTGCTGGCTAGTTGTGACTCCCGGTCTGGTGGCGTGTATGTTTAGGAAATTAAGGGAATTAGGATTCTGCATTCAAAGCCTGTCTGGCACGTGCTTGCACCATGCTCCATTCTGGACCACCTTTTGAAGTGATGGTGATGACCGAATCACAACACAATGTTAGTATTTGGCTTAGCCTGTTCTGCAAGGAAATACAGGAAACAGCCTTACACTGTTCTGCAAGGAAATACAGGAAACAGCCTTACACCAATGGTTCCTCTAGCTCAGCAATCTCTCTGGGAATTCCACCAGGTCTCTCCCAGCCCTTCTGGCAGGTGCCAGGGATAGAACCAGGGATTTTTTGCATGAAATGCAGATGCTCTATCTCTGATCTGCGGCACCCTTTCTGAAGTTCCACCATGCAGCTCTGAAACCCAGGAAGAACAACAATGCCAGTATTAGGGACCAGGCATCCTTCCCTCTTTCTGAAGGGACTGAGATGGCCAGATGTTCTCACACAGAAGTGATCTGAGGATGCCAAGAAGAGAGCAAATGGAGTATGTAATGTAGTCCCAATTATACTATACAGGCCTGTCTTCAAGTGAGTAGCCTGCATATGTGCCCTCGACTGCCAAGGGGGGAAAAAAGGATTAAGCTGTAGCCTTGTGAGAAGCTTCTCAGCACTGCAGGATTGTAGCTGGAGAGCTTATTGAGCAGTATTTGCCCCAGCAATTTATACTGCATAGCTACACATCGTGGAAGTCTATCTTTATCTCAGTAATCTCTGTTAATCCGCTGGTGGCCTTTTTGTTTTAAACATCTGGACAGTTTTATGGCTGGTGAGAATTAAGGTGCTGAGCATAAGAAAACAAACCGCTTAGCGATCCTTTCAAATAAACAAGGCTTTCTCTGAAACATTAACCTTTGGGGTCAGGGAAGAGAGAGAGAGAGAGAGAGAGAGAGAGAGAATCATGTCTCCCCCCCTCCCCACCACCACCAGTTAGTTTTAAAAATTGGAGTGAGTTCTTTTTAAGATCTTTAATCTCCAGGTAACCTGTTTGCCATGCAAATAATCTCAAGGCATTTAATGGGCTCTTGGCTGTAAGAGAGCAATGTAAGTGTGTATAAAAAATAGAATGTTAAGCAATGAGATGCTTCCTAATCTGATCCTCCCTCTGATCACTGTTTTTGTGTTGGTGAAACACACACACACACACACACACACACACACGCACACACACGTGCGACAGGTGGGTGCTCTTCAGCCTGTAATATAGTTGTCAGCATCCTCACAGAAATGGCTAAATGTGTTATTCAGGCTAATGCGCTCACATGTTCATCAACAAATGTTTCCATTTGTCTTGGATGCCGAAACGGAAAACAGGAATGTGAGGACGAAGGGGTCGTTTCGTCAAAAGCCTCCGGTTCCAAAACTGATGGGAAGGCCCAGCGCTGCAGAGTGACAGCTACACGGAAACAGAAATAGTCACATGCTTGCAGAAATCACAGTCTGCTGAAATCAGCAGCACAATACAAAACCTTTCAAGAACCTCAGGGGTTTGTCAGCCTATAAATATAACCCAATGGCATATGATTTTGTGATGGCTGCACAAGGAAAGTGCCTGTTGAGGTCCTCCCCCCTCCTCACCTTCTTTAGAACGATGTTGGTGCACATTAATCCAAGGAACAGGAACTCTAATACTAAAGGATCATCACCAGGAGACGCAGTGTGGTGTAGTGGTTAGAGTGCTGTAGTAGAGCTTCACTCAGCCAGGACACTGGGTGACACTGTGCCAGTCGCTGAATCTTAGCCTAACCTACCTTACTGGGTTGTGTGTGCACCTGTGTGATGGCCTGGGACTCGGGCTCGGACTCAGAGCCGGAGGAGTCTCAGTCCATACCGGATCCTCTGCCTCAGGCGGTGTCTGAACCGAGTCTGGGGCCTGATTCTGAAGAGCTCCAGTCTGCACAGGTTCCCCTGCAACAAGCACCAGCTGGGCCGAGTCCGGGGCCTGAGCCTGCCCTGGCTCCAGATGCAGGGATTACCTCGTTGCCTTCAGCTGGGCAATCACTTACAGCTGCTCCACTACCAGTTGGGTCAGGAGAGGCTGAGGCAGCCTCTGGGTCTAGTAACCCACCGACATCTCCTGAGCTGCAGAGACTCAGGTCTGAGAGAAGGAGAGACCTGAGTACTCGCAGGAGGAGTGCTCGCCTTCGGGCAAGACAGGGAGGTGAGTCACCGGGGGATCAGGACTGGCCGTTACCCCGACAAAGATAAAAGGCTGCCAGACCCTGCCCCAGGTTGTGGGAGCAACATTGCTGCTTGCTGGAATCTGCCTGAGACCCTGTGCCTGACCTAGCCCGGTTTCCTGCCTTGGCCCTGTTGGACTGACACTTCGCGGAATCCTTTGATTCAGGACCGGACCTGGACCGCGTGGCTCGGGTTAACCCCTGGGCCCAGCACAGCCTGCTGCCTTGAGCCCACTGAAAGAAAAGGAAAGAGACCAGGCAACTTCTTCTCTAGCCCTTCTCATTTAGCTGTGATTCCTGATTCCTGGGGGTTTGGACTCGATGATGCTTTGAATCCCTTCCAATTCTACACAGAAAACAATGTTCAGGAACCTGAGCTGCAAGGCTGCCTACCACCTGCCTCCAGTATTATAGTTTATCTTTCTCTTGGATAATGTTTTGGATGACTCTGGAGAGCAGGACCATTTTAAGTGAAATCAGGCTTCTTGAAATTATTCCAGGAGGCAAGAGAGGACTCTTTTTAGGTGTGCTCACCCCGGAGATCAGTGGGGAGTGAGGGCTGTCAGGCGGCCTTCTCGAGGAGTCAGACGCCGGCTCCTTTGGCTGGGATGGATGACTGAGCATGCACACCAATGCCCACCCTTGTCAGCTTGCAGAACATGCTCTGATTGTGAAGCAGGGACACAACGCGTATGCCCTGTCAGACTCTGTTCCATTGTTTTGCTTCAATGTTTTCTGTTGCACATGAAAAAAAAAAAGAAGGTGGGGGGGAATGTAAAGAACATTCTGAATAAGGCTGGGTAGTTATTTGTTTTTTAAGAGCTTTACTTTAATGAGTGGTTGACTTTTTGGGGGGGCAATGGCAAGCACTGAAAGATGTCACTGTCTGTCAAAGATGTTACATCAATGTGATGGATAGAAAGAAAGCCCCTCTTTCCTCCAGAGGCATCCACATTGTGTCATTAACAGAAAAAGGACCCCTTTAAAAGTAAATAAAAAATAAAATAAATTCGCTTGTCTATGTCCTGGGGGCAGCTTCATCTATGATGCAACAGAGTGTTCCCTTTTCTCCTGAGATGGAAGAAGCACGCAAGCCTCACACATAATGATTTATCCCAATGCTTTCCTGACACATGTGAGGAAGCTCTCAGGAAGCAATAGAATGGAATAACCTTTTGAAAAATCATTGTTTTGTTTTTCAAGTTCAAAGCTGACAATTGGCCGGGGGGGGGGCAGGGCAAAAGCAATGTTGTGATGTTCCCTGGTCACTACGCTGAGTGGGCAAAGTTGGGTTGGAATATAATCACACCGCTTTCACCTATTTACACATTCAGTCTGAATGGAGGGAGTCTAGCATGATCATCTCAAGAGAGACTTGTCCCCCACAGCAGGGCATCCAGCCTTCAGCCAACCTGCCCAAGATGGACCTCCGCCTTTGATCTCCTTTCTTCTTCCCAACACACCTTGCTGAAAACACTTGTTTCCTGTCACCTCACACTCAGTTACCCCAGCAACCTTCCAAAGCCCCCAATCTCTGCTGACACCTCAGAACAAGGGAGGAGAACAGCTCTCTTGCATTGCTAATGGCTCTCAATGGCCCTGTATTGTTTCTTAATGGTCTTAGCTGGCCAGGTCATTTTGCATAGACAAGCTCAGGAATTCCTCTGCAGCTTGTATTCCTCCCTTCCCATATCAAAGAATCAAAATCCTACCATTTATTAATTTCTAAGGTTTAGCTGTGGTTCCCCCCCCCAAAAAAAATTTTTTTTATAACCTTGGGCCAATCACTGCCTGATAGCCTAACCTGCCACACAAGGTTGGTGTGGGGATTAAATGAGGCAGCAGGGGACCATGTATGCCACCTTGAGCTCCTTGTAGAAGAAGGTGAGATGTACATACAATAAAATTTCATATATAAATAAATAGTCATAGAATTGTAGAGTTGGAAGTGTTATGTACTGAGCTGAATGCTAGAACAATAGGATCCAGAATGCAGCAGTCTGATTGGTCCGCAGGAGCCACCCAATCCAGCTCCAGGTGGAAGTGAATCAGTGACCTGATTGGCCCACAGGAGCAGCCCGGAATTAGCCAATCATGCAGGGCCCATTGTGTAAATAATGTATATATTAGCTAGACGTTTTGGGGAAAGATTCATTCATTGCTACTATGAGCTGAATAAAGAGCATGAAATTCACACTCGACTGAGTATATTTCAGAAGGGACCCAAAGGATCATCTACTCCAACCCCCTGCAATGAAGGGATAAAGGAGCCTCTTGCTCTGTGCCATCAAAAGTGAGTAACTCTTCCTTTTTAAAATAAGAACACTAGGTCCAAATTGTAGCTATTTGCTCACAGCTTGGGGACTGTATTCACCAGCCCTGCATTCCCAAGGGGTCTTCTGTAGCAGAGTAGGCTTCAAGACAGACACGCCTGTAAGCTTTAAACTGGTCTTTTTTTACTCAATGGTGTCAGGTATTTCTGGATTCAACTGAAGCAAGCAAGAAAGAGAAACTAAACAAGACATCTCAGGAAAGCTACTTTAGCTTACTGTAGTGGCTTATTTGCCCTCCATAAAGAGGGTATTGGTTACGTGTTGTTGCTTATTCCAAGAGGGCTTCAGCTGGTAGGGGTGGGGCTAGGATATCCACAGCAGAGCTTGACAAAAGGCCCAGTTGTCACAGGAGTGCCTGAGCTACGCCACTTTATAGTGAAGGTGGGAGATCAAATGGCTGAAATGCGATGATTGTTGGGAACTGCCTTATATCAAGTCAGACAGTGGGTCCGCCTAGCTCCATAATGTCTCCATGGAGTGGTTGTTTCAGACAAGGCTTGTTCCCAGATGCCACCTGAGAATGCTGGTGATCAAATCTGTGACCTTTGGTGGGCAAAGTAGGCTATTGGGCTACAGCCAGTTCCCGAAGCTCATTTTCTTGCAGGCAGAACGCTGGCATGTCATGAAGAAAATGAGATGACACCCCTTCTCTCTGAGACAGTCTAAAGTGGTATAACTCAAGTAGTCCTATGAGAACTGGGCCTTTTGTCAAACTCTGCTGTGGATATCCTAATTTTCTCTGTGGAAGAAATTTGGAAAGTCAATAGTGGCTGTAGCTCAGTGGCAGCACATCTGCTGGGCAAGCAGAATGTCTCCAGCAACTGCAGGTAAGGTGAGGAAAGTCCCTTTCCAGAAACCTTGGAGAGATGCTGTCAGTGGGGACAATCCTGAGGTAGATGCTCAAACGGACTGACTTGATATAAGGCAGGCTCCTATGTTTCTAGTCAACCCTGTGAACTCCTCATCTCTCAAATTGGAGAAGTAGGAACACACACACACGTCTATGTCCTCAGTGAGGACAAGGCCAAACATCCTGAGTGTGTAGGTTTTTTGTGGGCTCTTTACTGGGGTGATGTAGAAACCTCGGAGACATGTTGCTAATCTAATCCAAATTCTTTAGCTGCTCTTGGATGTTTCTCCTGAGCAACAAGAACTTTCAAACTCACCTTAAAATTTCTCTCGGTTCACCAGGGTTGCTTCCTCCATTACTGTTATGGTGTTTAACTGAGACCCTTATATATAATGTTACAATACATAAACCAAAAATGCTTTGTTTTGCCTTTTACTGTAGCAAGATTTAAACAGCACAAAGCCAACCTAAGAAAGCAAGTGCTTTCTTGCGATGCTAGCCTGAGATCTTAAAAAAAAAGAATCTACATTCAATATTTCTTATGTATTCTTGCTTGTATTATTCTAATTCAGCTGTTTTGTTGTTGTGTCTTATGAATTTAGTAGTCTTAGCTGTGATTACAGCATAAGACTTTGATACTGGATTTCAATTTGCAATTGAAAGCATTTATAGAGCCCTGTGTGGAGGAATTAATATCTGCTGAACAATTTCCCTAAGTACTGCATTGATTTTTTTTTAACAGTACAGGTGCCAGGAAGGTAGGGAAGGGGGAGAAAGCTCCCCACACATTAACATTACTGTTGTGGTAAACAAAAAGTTGAATGGGAACTAAAGTATCTGTTATGCCAGCAAAATGATAAACAATGCCAGAAAACAATGCTCGTTTTCATTGCAAATTGCATTGCTTCTTGATCCATTGCAGTGAGATGATTTTGAGTGGCTTCCCTAATTGATATTACAGAACTTGGTTGAAATGGTGTCTCCTATGTTCTGCACTCCCTGCCTCCTTGGCAGATCTCTTCAATCTGTTCTTCAAGTTGTGTTTGCTGGTTT